GTAGTCAGCTCTGCTGCCCAGTGTAGAAGGTGTGGGAATACAGCCCTGCCTCTCTTCTCTTATCTGTTTGGAATGGCAAATGTGATGCATTTATAGAGAGATCAGCTTTCTAGAGCTGAGGGGGTTTTCCTCTCCCAGTGTTTTAAAACTGGATTTATTGCTTGTGAACAGTGCTGCTCTGTCAGCTTTGGTGAGTGACTTGCCCTCAAGACAGGGAGAGGTAGTACAAGCTGAGGCACTGCTCTTCCTCCATGTCCAAGGTGAGAGGGTAGTTCATTCCAGTGGTTTTGGTTCTCTTTCTGAGAATGCCTTCAAGGTACCAGAGGTAACATATGCCTCCCATTAGAGACTCAGCAAAACCAGGGACCTTACACTCATTTCAGACAGGTTCACAGAGCTGTCATCTGGACCAGAATGGTATAGATAGCATGCGAAGTGAGTCTGATATGTGGCTGTTCATTGTGGAGGAAAACAGTATTATTTACAGGACAGAAGGGAAGTGAGGCATTCCTTGTTTTCATTTTTCTATGTAGTGGCTATTGGGCCTCTAACAGGACGCTGAAGAGTAATTCTGTCTCTATATTGACAATAGTGTTTAAAAAACAAAACAAAACAGTCAAGCCATGCATTTTCATAACAACTTTTGATGGGGAGGTCTGATTCTCTCTACATTTTCATTAGGCTGTTTGTCAGTATAACTCTATGGGCTCCTATACACATGCAGGGAGCTGGCTCTGACGCACTTGAAATTCAGCGCATCAGAGCAGGCTCAATTAGTGAAGTCTGCAGGAGAGCGGAAATTACTGCACTCCAGCAGACTCTAGTGTCACGTGTATCAGCATCCCTGCACTGAAAAATGGTGGCGGGTTGCTTTGAACTAAAGCTTGTTTGATGTGCTCTAGATGTGCCCCATGCCTCCCAGAGCATGTGTAAAAAATGCCCTACGAGTCTACTGAAGATATTCCTGATTTACTACCAAATAACTGAAACCAGAATTTGGCCTCAACTTTCTAAGTTAGACAAAGCTCAGTTTTTGCCTGCCTCTGTTCTTAACCTACATTTACATGCATGAATACAACTGTAAGTTTCCCAACAACCTTTTACTTATTTACATAATGCCAAGTGTTCAAAAGCACTTAGTATTGATTGGTAGGTGGGAGCTTTACCTTGACATTCAGGGAGAGCAAGGCTAGGCCAGAGCTTTTGAAAATTCCAGAGCCTGTATTTTCATATGCCTAAGTGTGTCTCTCTGTCCATCCATAATGATTTATTTGTGCTCTGACTGACTTTCTTGGCAGGCAATCAGAGTGCCCTACACAGACAAGGACAGACAGCGGAGCACCACCATGCCAATGGGGACTGAGGGGCTGGAGGGGAGTGGGGTGAGGCCAGAGAAGCCCTCCGCTGGCCTTGTCCCCCTCCCCTGCTCCTTGGAGGCAGAGGGGGACGATGGGGACTGGAGCACTGCAATAATGGAGGGGACGGAGCGGGAGGGTGAGGACAACAGCGCTGGTTTTGCCCCCCCAGGTCCAGTCCTTGGAGCCAGGAGCTGGTGCCCCCCCTTCTCAACAACAGCTGGCAGGGAGGGAGGGGAGCAAGAAGTGGAAGGGGGGGTTACGG